CTGCTTTCTTAAGTGCCTTTCTTTTGTTCTTTATGTCCTCTTTGTCACCATTCCAGGACATTGATGGCTTCTGCCTGGCCACACCTGTCTTGATCATCTTTCCCCTCTTAGCTCAGGAAACTTCCTCCCTTTTGTCTTTCCAAAAATCCCGCCTTATTTTCCATACTTCTCCTGATTAACTGGTTAGAAGATTTTTTTTCTCCAGCTCCTCCCTGTCTGCACACACAACTCCCAATGACTCACTCTCTCCTGAATTGCTTCTACTGCATTTGCCCCATTGTGTCTAAGTGTTGTTGCCATTGACATGACTGCATATCTGCTCCCATAACATCTGTCAGGCATATGGTAAAGTGGAAATGTGTTGAAATTTAGTCTTAGATTTATTCCTGACAATGCTGTTTGTTCACTTTAAATAGCTAAATGTATATCTTTTTAAATATAAGAACTCATCTATTTGCTTTTTTGTGAAGATCAAATTATGGTATCCATCCTTCTCAAGCAAGGTATCTGGTGTGTAGTAGGTGCACAGTAAATGTCAGTCACCACCATCTTCTCTTTCTTCTTTAGATTTAACAATGATTTATTGCACACCTACTATGTGTCAGAAAAATTCTTTTTCTTGGTGCTGGAGTGAACAAGACAGAAGAAGTCCCTGTCCTGATGGAGCTTACATGCTATGGGAGAGACAGAAAACAGTAAACAAATAATACAATCTAAAGTAAATGACAATTTATCACTGAAGAAAAACAAATTTCATTGTTGATGTGGATGATAACAGAATATTGATCAAATATTAACCCACCTTCTTTATATTTACTCCACATAAGCTTTAAGAGACCTACTAATTCCTGTAGTGGACCACTGTAGGATATGCAGACTGCACAGCATGGACTTTGTGTGCTTGAATACATAGTAGTCTGAATCGTCCGTTGATCACATTCTTACTATAGAATTAAGCAGAGATGTCCTCAGAGAATAGCTGGTAGAGGAATAATCACTGGAAGGAGAACTGGAGACACGGATTGGTTCCAGTTAGGATCTTGGCAAGAAGGGAAGCCAATAAATGCCATGCTGGAAGGTGGGCAGATTGAGTCCGCTGGAGAGACCAAGAAATAAATGGCTGTAGGATATCGTGTCTTGGGATAAAAGAGCACCCGCAGGCTTCCTTTTATTAGAGTGAGGAAGCAGCAGGTTCTCCTGCTCAGACAGCAACCTTAGAGCAGGGATCCTGGTGGAGACTCAAAGGGGAGCAGAGGTGGACATGGAGTTCCCAAAGGAATTCTGATACAGTCTCTGGGCTGGGACCCATTGCACAGGGCTTGGGATCTAGTAGGTGTTTAATGAACATTATTGACTGACTGTCAGGCTGCCTTAGTGAAACCAGACAGCCCATCGCAGGCTGGTGCTTTCCACAGGTCTGAGAAGTGATACTGTCCCTCTTCAGCAGTGGAAAGAAGCTGAGCAGAAAGGCTGAGTATGGCACAACGTTGTGCTTTATTTTGTCTATTTTTTTTAAAGAAAGAAAGAAAGAAAAGGGAGTTCCCAAAGTGTCCCATCCTTCTGTGTTAAAATCAAAGGGCAGCAAGACATTTCAAAACAAAATAGTTGTATAAGTGGGTTACTATTATTGTGTGTTAGCTATTGCTATGCAAAAAATAACCTTCAAAACTGTGGCTGGAAACAATGTCGATTATTATTGCTTTTGAGTCACAGGTTGGCTAAGTGGTTCTTTTTCGATAATTAAGCTGGCACATTTCATGCATCTGTGATTGGCTGTGGGTTGAGCAGGCAGCTCTATTATTCTTGAATGAACTCTCTTGCTTGTTTGGAGGTTGACTGGCTAGAGGCTGGCCTTGGCTGAGGTGATGACTGGTTCTCCTCCATATGGTCTCTCATCCTACAGACCAAGCCAGACAGGGCTTGTGTACAAGGCAGTAGCAGGGTTACCAGAGAGTGAGCAGAAGTGTACGAGATCTCTTGAGGTCTAGACTCAGAACTGGAACATTCTCTCAAATGAAGCAAGTTCCAAATCCAGCCCAGACTTATGAGATGGGGAAACACCTCTTGATGGGAGATGCTGCAAAGTCACATTGCAGAGAATATGGATAAGAGGGAGGGGGTGAAAAAATGTAGCACAGCTATTTTTACAATGATGACCCATAGCAATCACCGTGAGTTATACGTTATTCATGTCCTTGGTCAATACTGAGTCTACTCTTTTGTAAGGAAGAAGGGTGTTTGGTCTTTGGAGCTTTGCAGCAGCTAATGAATGCATGAGGTGGACAAATGGGTACATGTTAAATGCACTTTATAGCCTAATAAGCATAAACATTTCTGGGTCACACTGAGTAATAGGTCTAAACGGTCACTGTTCACTTTTGTGATTCAAGTGATTTTTTTAAAGTCTTGAAATCTACTTTATTAACTGTAAGAGTTTCCTTTTATTTATTAATTAAGTTCAGCAAGAAGCTTACTATGAAATAGTTGCAGGCTGGCTTTTAGACTGAAGTGTTTCATTTTCTCCTCATCTAAAATAGGCTGCCTTCCAAAGCTGCCAGTGACAGATAAAAAACGAGAATATAATTTTACATAGTCAGAGAACATTTGTTTCTCTTATAATGCAATGTTTCAGGACTTCGTTCCCTCTCTTTCTGAGCCTTTTCCTTTTTTTAACCTTAAACTCAATACTATAGAATTTTAACATCCTTGACTAGAGGTTTTTGCAAGCCGTTTCATCCTCTTTGTTCCAGAACTCTGGGTGGTCCACATTTTTCCATTTTTAATAAACAGCCTCGCTCTTAAATGAAAGACTACTTATATGGTAGCATTATTCACTCACATATTAAAGAATGCCTGCCCTCTTGTGGCCATAGAGGTTGCTACAGTAAGGAGTGCAGTAGCAAGTTTATCAAGCCAGACACAAAGCATTCCGCCCCACGGGGATGTTCTACCAGAGAGCTTGCTCCAGGCGGCCAAGTGTGGTTGTAGAGCGTGAACAGTGCAAAGTGACCCCAGCCCAAAAGGTGAATGCATGGCCATTGCGATCCACCCCACACTTTGCTTGTCAAGTCACGCATCCTGTATCCAGGCTGTATCTTCCCAGAGGGGTTGCCCAGTAAAATTTCATTCAAGGGTGCCTGCCATCAAACTCGGTGCCACCTGGAATGTGCAACCTCCTCTCCTTTATACAAACCTCTGTATAGGCTACTAACAGCCTTGTGAGGCTCCTGATGAATTAGTTGGACACCGCTCTCAACATGGAACTTTCCTACTCAGAAATTTCCAGAAATTAAAAGTAGCTGGTTAGAGCTGAATATCACTTAGTCCCAGGTTACCAGAGGAAGGGATAGGAACAAAGGGAAAATGAGACGTGCCAAATTTGGTAGCAGCAATTCAGGGAAGTACAAAGCAGGGCTTCTGACTCCCAGTCCATGCTCTGAAGGCTTACCTTTAGCTTCAGGTGACCCCTTTATTTGACACTCCCCCCGCCCCCCACACGCACACCTGTCCACATGCTTCTTGAGTGAATGAGTGAATGAATGCATTTTCTAATGTTTCTTTGCCCCCACCTCCCAAAACTTCCCCTCCCCCATGCCATATCTACTCCTACTGTGCATCTTTGTTCCTATTATTGTTCCTTCCTGTAATGCTTACTGCTCTTGACCTGGTCCATGCTTCTCCCATAATATGCTTCAGGCTCAGTTCCAGGTCTGCTCTCCTCCCCCAGCCTTCATTAAGCCAGAGGAGAGAGGGCCACCAAGGCTGCACACAGGTGTTCAGACTTAGTGGAAAGAGCACTGCCGGGATCAACCACCTGCATTCTAGGCCCAGGTCTGCCAGGAGCTGCCTGCATGATCTTGAATAGATGCCCTCACCTCTCTGAGCCTCATCTTGCTCTTCCCAATTACGAAAGCACCGGACTACATCGGTGTTGCTCAGAGTGTGGCAGGCTGAGTGCTGGTGAGGTGGTGGTAGGCGGTTCATGAACGGGTGTTTTTAGCATGTTAGTAGAAATGTATTTGTTTAAGTGTATTGGTTTGGGGGGGAAAGAACCCAAAACATTAAACTGAGAGTTCCCTGGATAGTATTATATGTGACAAGGCTAAGTAGTTTAAGTTTGAAAAGAGAGTTGATTTAAGGAAAAACATTAAGTAAACAATAGTACAAGTAGTCATCAGATATGGCAAAAGTGACAAAATGGGGAAAGTCTGTGATGCACCAGAGGAACTCATCCCTGTGCTCCTGTCTCGCTCTCTCGCTGGGGTCCTTTCTCACATGTTCGTTTACTATTACATTTGTCCATCACTGTTAGTTGCTGATGACAATACAGCCTCTCTCTTTGTTGCAGCTGTGTTGGATAGTCCTTGATTACACCATACTCATCACAGTATAAAGCACAAAATAGGCCTTTAAAAAAGATTTGTGGCTTCCCTGATTTCCCTGTGTTGCCTCTAACATTTATATAAGCATTGACCTGTGTCAATATCCTAGTTTCAAAACCATGTTCATTTTTATAAATGTAGATGTTTTTTCTATTTATGACAATCATGTCGACTCATTATGTAAAATTTGGAAAATACAGGAAAGTAGAAAGAGAAGAAAGAAGGCATCCATTGTCTATCAATCCAATAATGAACCCTGCTAATATCCCTCCCTAATTTAAAGTTGTCCTGCAAAATCCTAGCAAGTGGAGATCTATTTCTGTTCATCTTTTTGGGAAATTGGAATATTCCTGATTTAATATTTTCTGTCATTCCAAATCATAAAATCAAATAATTTCAATGGAGAATCTGGGGATGGAGGTCCACTGGCACCTTTCTAAGCAGCAGTTGAGTAGCTACCACAGAGGTGAGCCAAAGTCGGGAGAGGCTACCGCAGATCAAGGATAAGAGTAACTGATACTCTTTGCAAAATGCATTGTGTATGTCAAGCTCTGTGCTAACGATGATTCAATATTTTATGCATATGCATACCGATTTGTATATTTGTCTTTCCTGTAGGGTTTTTAGAGTCTCTGGATGACTTTTACATTCTTGGCAGTGGTTTAATATTGCTGCAGACCACAAACAGCGTATATAATAAAACGCTCCTCAAGCTTGTGACACCCCAGTCTCTCCTGGCCTGGCAAAGAGTCCGAGTGGCCAATATGATGGCCAATGATGGCAAGCAGTGGGCAGAGATCTTTTCAAAATACAACTCTGGTAAGTGGCCCTGCAGCATCAGTTTTAGGCACGTACCTATGTTCAGATTTCACGTTAACCAGTCAAGCCATACCCATGTCCTGCTTCACGTCTCCCGATATTTCAGGCACCTACAACAATCAGTACATGGTCCTGGACCTGAAGAAGGTAAAGCTGAATAACAGCCTTGAGCCAGGCACTCTGTACATTGTGGAGCAAATTCCTTCATATGTAGAATATTCTGAACAAACCGAATTTCTACGGAAAGGTACTTTCTTCATGCTAGAAGTTGGAAGTGTGATGAGTATGCGTGTGTCTGCGTATGTGATGGGAGATGTTGGCATGTGCTTGTATGCCGAGGGAGGGTGTGCGGGACGAAAGGATGGGAACACCATAGCTAGTTACACTGGGAAGGAATGACCAGGTTCAGCACAGTGTATAAAACCTGCCTCTCAGGCTCTTCTGTGACAGTGTGTAGGTTGGGACAAAGCCAGGCATTCGCGACCTTTGATTTCTCACAGCTCTAATATTCCTTCCTCTCCTGGGTTCCCAAGTTAAGCTTTTAGTTCAAGTCAGTAAATAATTATGGGAGTGCTACGCTGGCCCAGGGACTGGACAAGCACAGACGCAGGTACGAAATCCCTGATCTTTAGGAACTCGCAGCCTAGTAAGGGACGCAAGACCGCATCAAGCCGCCATTAGAACCTAGAAAGGGAAGAGTGGTGACAAGCGCTGGTGCGACCAAAAGTTTCACCAAGCCTAGTGGTGAAACCAAAGAGGGAGCTGTTGTCAGCGGGAGGAGTCAGAGAAAGCAGTTCTGGGGGGCAAGAATGTAGCCCAGACATGGAAGCCCAGGTTTTGGAATGACACTGCCTCGATTTGAATCTCCACTCCTCAAAATCTCAGGCAAATTATCTACTCTCTTCGAGCCTCACTTTCTTCATCTGTAAAACACAATAGTTATAGTGTAGGTCCACGATCACTTAGTTGTAATTTTTAAATAATCTCAAAACCTCAAAACTCTAAAACCAAATGTTTGTTTGTTTTTGCCCTAGCTCCCTTGGTAGCAAAATGACCTGATCTGAACTCGTCTGGTAGCAAAAACTAACTTGAACTGTCTATTTATAGTGTTTATTTGCTCTCCTCTGGAGAGACTATTTATACATTAGCCTACAAAAATATCAGTATCTTTGATTGCGAGCTGCCCCCTACAGCGACTGCAATGCCATGTCTAACATACGCAATCCACTGCTGCCCTAAAATTTGAAAAACCCTGAATTCTGAAACACATCTGGCCCCCAAGAATTTTTGGATGTGGGACTGTAGACCTTTACACTTTCATAGGGTTGTAATGATAATTGAGATAATTCTTGTAAATTCTTGAGCGCATTGCTAACACATAGCAAGAACTGTTGTCCTGCATTAAATATGGGGCTTGGCACACAGAGTCAGCCTTCACTGAATATTTGTTGAATCAATGAAAGCGGAGATGATGTCTGTGGAGGCTTAAAGGCCCAAAAAGGAGTTCACTCATTTGACAAGGAGACAGGGTCAAACAAATGGAAGCATGAAAACTGTGGTGTGATTGAGAACCTATTAGCTCAAGACAGCTGAAGGAAAGGCTGTGACGAGGAAGGTAGGTAGTGAAGGAAAAAATATTAACCTTGTTTATCCTGCTAAGCAGCTTAGCCTTTATCCTTCAGGACATGGGAGTCTCTGAAAAGAGAGAACAGGCTGGAGGTCAGAGAGAAGACAGGAGACTAGTTAGAACACTCCTGAAATAGATCAGCTGATAGACGAGGAGGAACAGAACCAAGGTAAGGTACGGACCCTGGGGATCAGGGCCTGGTCCTTAGCTCCCCAGGTCCCCAAGTCGATTTTGTAATGACACCTGGAGTGGGCCATCTCAAGGGAGATGGCTCACGCTGACTAAATGCACACAATATGCATAAAACAGAATTAAGGTGGAAACTTCAACTGCCCAGCAGATTAGATCCTATCAAATAGCAGACCTACCTCCTTCTCTTGTAGGAAAATTCACCTGAGAAGTCAAATCATTAGGTGGTTACTTGGTTAGCATGGCAATTCAATCCTGAGACCCTAGCGGTCTGACCTTGAAGGCTGGTCCATCCAGCTTCTAAGAGCTTGGCCATAACAGCATGGCTCCAGAGGGAGAGCTTGTCAAAGAGCACTGCTCACCCAGGGCTTTTCTTCTTTGGACTGTAGCTCACAGGGAATGGTCAATTCGGGGTCTTTGCATTGCCCTTCCTGGATCCCATGAAGAAAACTACTGAGACTGAAAAAACAAAGCTCATGCTGAGCTGTCTGTAGTTTTTTTTGTTTGTTTTTTTTTTTGTCAGAGGAGAAAAGAACAGAGATTTAAATTCACTGAGTGTCTACTGTCTACCAGCCACTCTTCTGGGCCTTTTACTTGTGTTCTTTTGCTTGATCTTCATAACATACTTCCAGATAAGTAGTATTGTTACCATTTTACTCCAAGGAAAAGAAAGACTTAGAAAGAAACATGTGATTTGCCTAGATAATTAAGTGATATCATCTAAGCATTAAAAAAAAAAAGTGCTGAAAACCTCCTTGCATTTGGAAGTAGCTGTGGTATGTCTATAGGTACTTTTATTCAGAAGAAAGGCATTTGACCTGTCTGAACTTCTGTTTCTTCCTTTTTAAGGAGGATGGTAATACTTACACATCATCAGGCAATTGTGAAATTATACAAGACACACTATTTTAAGTGCTTTTGTAAATCATGAAACTTTATGGAAATGTGAAGTATAAAGCAGCTGCTTTTTTTATTTTGAGATGTTCACATAGTGAAATGTAATTATAAGTTAATATCCATCTAATGCTCAACAAGTATTAGACACTAGTGTAAGCACTCCATCTGTTTGAATTGATTTAATATCCATAGTCATTCTTATAAGTACTATTATTGTTCATATTTCATAGATGAAGAAACTGAGGCACAGAGAGGTTAAGTAATTTGTCTAAGATCACATACCTAATAATGGCAGAACCAGGCTGCAAATCCAAGCACTTTAACACCCAAGTCTATACAACTCAGATACGCTGTAGCAAAAAATGGGACTTTAGCCTGTAATTTCAATATTGTCTTTGTCTCAGCTCTTCTTGATGCTGGCCCTGGGTCCCACAATCAGCAAGGTTGAACATCTTATCATTTGTTTTGTCTCAATAACCTCACGCCTGAATAGGGAAGCCTATAAAACAGTAAGAAGGGAGAAAGGCAGACAAGAGCTGAGTGAAGAAGAATATGGGATGAGGAAATCAATCTCTGAATGATGGAGATGTCCCTAAGTTCACTGACTGTCCTATAGGCAATAACCCAGGCTGCTAAAATCTGGCAAGTGCCTGAAACGGTGGTTTTACTAGAGCTGTCACATGTTCGATGCTATGGTGTCGGCACACTATGAGTCTTTGGATGAAGCTGAGCCTTTGTGAATGCTTAGAGTCAAAGGAGTTAAAAGCCTGCTGGAACCTTAAAGGTAATCTCCAATGCCCTTGTATTACGACTTTCTTCCTCTCCATGCTAACAAAAAATAAAAGAATAAAAAAAACCCCGTTCCATTTATAGTCACTTCAAGAACTATAAAATACTTAGGAATAAATTTAACCAAAGACGTAAAAGACCTGTGCTCAGAAAATTATAAGACACTGAAGAAAGAAATAAAAGAAGATACAAATGGAAACACCTACCATGCTCATGGATAGGAAGAATTAATATAGTTAAAGTGTCCATACTGCCTAAAGCAATATATAGATTCAATGCAATTCCTATCAAACTACCAAGAGCATTTTTCACAGAAATAGAAAATATAATCCTAAAATTTATATGGACCCAAAAAAGGCCCTGAATAGCCACAGCAATCCGGATATATAAGAACAAAGTTGGGGGAATCATGCTACCAGACATTAAAATGTACTACAAGGCTACAGTAATCAAAACAGTATGGCACTGGCACAAAAACAGGCACATAGATCAATGGAACAGAATAGGCAGCCCAGAAATAAATCCAGGCATATACAGGCAGTTAGTCTAGACAACGGAAGCACGAAGTTACACTGGGGTAAAGATAGTCTATTCAACAAATGGTGCTGGGAAAATTGGACTGGCACATGCAAAAAAATGAAACTGGACCACCTCCTTATGCCATATACAAGAACAAATTCAAAATGGATTAAAGGCTTAAATGTAAGACCTGAAACCATAAAACTCCTAGAAGAAAATATAGGGCCTAAATTTGCAGACATCACCCTGAGCAATATTTTTACTGATACATCCCTGCAGGCAAGGGAAGTGCTGCATCCCGCGCAGCACAGGCAGTGATGCGAGAGAGAGGACAGCGCAGGGTGAAAGAAATACAAAAGACAAAGGTAGATTTAGAACACCGAGGCCAGGAGGCTGCAGTTCTCTCTCTGGAACTGAGCACCTAATCGAGCCAACGTGAAGCTTTTATTAAGAAACTTCAAAGGAGTAAAACTTTTTTTTTTTCTAAAGTCTGTGTGATAAATGCCTTAAGGTCGGTTTCCATCGACCAGACCCCTTGTACTTCAACACATGCTGTGCCTTCGTACTCCCACACACACAACCCCCGGGATGGTGCAGTTGCTGCTGCGGCCATGAACTAAGGGAGACAACCGACATCATTCTGCTGGTCCCAGTTTTTCAGGACACTCCCTCATGACCTTGTTAGGTCAGGGGCTGGTGTTGGGGGGCAGTAGAGGATGAGGCTATAAGGCAACAGGAAAGTAAAAGAAAAAATGAACAGATGGGACTACATGAAACTTAAAAGTTTTTTCACAACAAAGGAAATCATCAATAAAACAAAAAGGAAGCCTACTGAATGGGAGAAGATATTTGCCAACAATATATCTGATAAGGGGTTAATATCCAAAATTTATAAAACACTCATGCAACTCAACACCAAAAAAACAAACAACCCAATTAAAAAATGGGCAGAGGATA